GCTAGATACTATGCATAGCCTCCTTCAGGCGAAGGAGCGTGCATAAACTCGGAGCGAGGCTCAGTTAAAGTTGCTGATTCGCTTGCAGCAATCCGGGGCATCGTCCTCGTCGTCGGCACCAGCGCCTCAAAGTTCACATGAGAAGTATTCCGGTACGGCTCAAGTAAGCCAACGTTGAACACTGGGTGCGTGCGCCATTTGCGTGGAAGGTTGAGCGCATACGCAAGTCCCTTCTGGCGATGACCGTAAAATGTCCGACGAAGCGTGGATGCAACTTTGTCTTGAAGACAGCAGACACTAAATTTTTAGGTAGGTTTTTAGCATTGAGTAATACTTGGTCTCCGAACTTATAACTTTTTAATACAATTTCTGCCTTTGGCATCTGCTTGTTGCTTTTGTTGATCTTTGCTATCAGCCATTGCGTCACGCTTATGTCGTAAGACATTCAATCGCGTTGCGAGAAACTCGCCTACCTGTTTGTGAACAGTGGCAGGGCTGATATCATCAAGCCTATCGGCAACCTCTCCCCCTCCAAGTCATGAACTACAGAGTGGTAGCGTTAACGGAACGCGAGGGTGGGTGAGGCCGTTTACGTAAAATGGAGCTAAGCCTGTGGAGGCATAAACCGCAATTTTCCATGCAAATTCACCAGCAGGAAGAACTGAGCTCCAACGCCATGGCGTATCAGCACAAACGCTGCGAAGCATATCACCAATAACACGATTAACGCGTTCAGTTTGACCATCGGTCTGCGGATGATCCGCGGTGGACATTTCCTATCGGATACCGAGCAATTTGAAGACAGACTTCCAAAACTTTCCAGTAATGCGGTGGTCTCTATCAGATACAATTGCCACAGGCAATTCATGCTGTCGAAACGCACAATCGATAAACAGCATTGCTGTATCTTCAACATCGATCATGTCCGGCACAACCGCTACACGAGCCATCTTGCTCAAACTGTCAACAAAGACCACAACACCAGTGTTGCCTTCCGAATCTTTCGGCTAACCGAACACAAGTTCCACATTCATAGATTCCCAACACCCAGAGGGTACAGGCAGACTAGCCAGCGGCGCAGCCGCATGTGTTAAGGGTTTAGCTCGTTGACACGTTTCGCACGTACGCACATAGGTGCTCACCCATATGTACATCTTGGGCCTCCAACAAGTCTAGCTTACTGATCCATTGGTCTTATCACGACCGAGATGACTACTTAAAGCGGTGTCTTGTGCCTCATAGATGATTCGATGCTTCAACTCCTCATCATGAGGGACAGCAATACGAGATTTTTCCTCAATATCCATGCGATAGCACAACAGGCCATCATCAATGGAATATCGATGTAGCCACGCACGTAAACGTGCCGACAATGTTATGTCCGAGTCTTATACTCATCGCTCCCAAGAGCCCGTAGCAAAGCTACACACTTTTCTTCCTTGGCATAAGCCGCACGGATTAAGTCAAGGACTGATAACGAAAGTGTCATAACATGAGCAAGCTCATAGTCAGGTCGGCGCGATAGCGCATCGGCCAAGGCATTTTGCTTTCCTGGCTTATACTTCACCTCGAAGTTATATTCGGCACAGAAGGAAATCCAACGAGCCAATCTCTATGAGAGATGCGGCGACTGTGTCGAAGAGTACATCTGCTTGGCTCAAAGCCTTTTGTGATCTATACAAATCATGACGCATGATCACTATAGATCACAAAAGGCTTTGAGCCAAGCAGATGTACTCTGAATTTGACTAGAGGATACCTTATCGCAAGTAGCTCTTTGTCATGAACTGGACGGTTCTTTTAGCATCTTTAAGCTGGCGAGACTTAAACGCAATGACGCGCTCACGTCCATTAACATCTTTTTGCAACAGAGCACTACCAATGACAAGGTCAGATGTGTCATAAACGACACTAAAGGGCCGATCAGGATCGGTCAAAGCCAACATTGGCGCCTGAAGAAGACTTTCCTTAATCGTTTTCTTACTAGCATTGTGTTCGGTATGACCCTACTACCAATCTGCATCCATGTTCTGGAGATTGGATTATGGCCTAGCTATGTCTGCGTAATTCGCACTATACTTAAGCAAGAAATTGGCAAGGCTAACTCACTTACGTAAGTCCTTTTGGTTCTTAGGAACCGACCAATCGACTACGCCCTTTATTTTGGCGGGGTCCGCTCGAAGGCCTCGCTTCCCAACTAAACACCCTCGATAGTGAATATCTTCTGCACCAAAGATGCTCTCAGACGCATAAGCGTACAACTTATTCGTGCGCATGCACTTGAGCACCGCTCATAAATGATCAATGTGGTTATCCACATCTGATCGCCCATTCGTTGCACGACTATGGAAAAAGACGTCATTAAAATACATTTGTGCGTAAAACTCGATGAGGTCGGAACAGATGCGTCACCCGACAATTAAAGGTTGCGGGGGCATTAAAAAGTCCCTGAGGCATAACAAGCCACTCCCAAAGCAAAACGCACGGAGTGCTCACCGCTGACAGCGAAACATCACTCGCTGGCATGAGGAGCTGGTAAAAACCATCGACTAAGTCGAGTGCGCTGAACATGGTGCAACCTACCATATTGTTCTGAAGAACATCCTTTAGGAATAGGTGTCTGCGCCGGTACAGTGGCCGTATTAAGCTTTTTATAAATATGCACAATGCGCCACTTGCCATTTTTCTTCCTAACACAAAGTGTCGGTGTTGAATGGGGAGATTTACTCTCACGAATTATTACATTCGCGTGCTTAGCACGAAAGAACTCGTCAATGACGTCACACTGTTCTTTAGGCAAAAGCCACTTCCGTGTTACGCAGTATTTAGTTCCTGGAACTAAGTCATATTTATGACGTTCACCTCTATCAGGTGGTAAGACGGGTGGTGGATTGTGACACACCACATCTTGAAATTTCTTGTCTAAAGGACAAAAAATGGATCCAAAGAATCTAGACGGATCGAAGATCTACTTCGCGCACTAAGTGCCGCTTCTGTGTCCTATAGGACGGACTCTTTCATTAGTGAGGTTGAGTTCAAGTCGACATCGGATCTAATGACCACTCATTCAGATAAATCTTCTGCCTGTTAGGCCCAGCTAAACTCGCCATCAGACAATTCGTCTAGATCACATAGAACATCCAGAGATAGGAGGGTTTAAGGCTAACATTGCCATCATTCTGACCGGTCACTCCTTTCTCAAGCGTTTATAGCGTATTGCTATTATCATTATGTGAACTTGTGGAAGCCTGACGCTTGACAGTTGCCACCTGACGTCTAGGTCATGTTTTGGAGACCTTACACCCCTAGGGGTCGGGGTAATAATGTCCCCTAATTTTCTACTAATAGTAGTACGCTCTATACTAGAGACGATGTCTTGACCGACATCCGGTAAAGGGCTACATAACTCGAACATTTCACCCAGTGGATTTCCACGTGCCACTCCACTTACATTATCTGGTCTAAGCCCTGAACTGAACGGCGTTTCGCCAACAATATCATTGCCGACATTAAGTGTGGTGCCTTCACGGCCGCCCACACTCGGTGAATTTTCGCGTGCCACCTCACACACATTGAAGGAATCACATCCTTAATAAGCCGGCCCTAGGCCAACCATGCTTTCAGCATGCAGTGACTCGTTATCACAATGAGTAACACTCAACGGCGTTCGTGCCGCAGCACTGATACTTAAGGAGATACGCTCGGAATCTATGGTTACAACATTGGAGGTAAGACAATGCAGATATTCAATGTCCAGCACATTGGCTTTTTCTGCCAAAGGCTCGCGCTAGTAGTGCTTTTGTTGCCTAGCGAAGGTGGGATCTTGACTCTCCAAGCTTCGCTAAAACGTTGCGCGTGGCGCCTAAGGTATAAGACCTCCAATAAATTCTGGCTCATGGCGTTCAAGGCAAGTCATGCCAAGGATGAGATCACATCTCGAGTCCAAATCAAGGACAAGACAGCGTTCAAAGCTGTTAAAGTCTAAAATGTATACACAAGTTCAATAGACCTTTAGGTACAGTATCACGACTTCCAGTCGCTAAACGAACCGTGATAGAATCACCCTCATGCGCTTTAAGCGCCTAAGCATAACGCTGACTTCCCTCGAGGGAACGACGTCAAGCATAATTTCAAGACGCTCCAAAGTCGATTAGTATCGACCAAGGCCGTTCAAAGCCCTTAGTTTTCTCCTCGTCGACTAACAAGCCAGACTTGTATCCACGCTCCATACCAATAGGTACGGAGCTCTTTGGGGCTAAGGTCTGCTATACCTTGCCTCTTAAATGTGTAAAAGAACTCAGTTCTTTCCCAGTAGGGCGCTCCGCGCCTACTGGACGTTAAAGTTTCTCCGTGCCATGCCAGACTTCCGGCTCGGGGTTGAGTGTTGGCTTGTATCCTGACGCTATTTACGCAAAGGGCAACTAGGCCGCAAGTGTTTAGTGCTCCGCATCTAAAACATTTTCGTGCGATACGTTGCTGCTCAGCAGTTTGAGGTTTAACTTCACTTCATCTACAGCATAGCTGAGATCCATCGGTTCCGGCCTGCTGAAGGCCGGACCACTTGTGGAATTTTCTCTCGCAGAGCTAGGGTTGTACCCATCCAGCCAGGCCTGGTCGACCTGAAGTTTTGCTCAGCATCAGAAGAAATTCTTACGGCTTCTTCGAACGTATAGGGGTGAAACCGAAAAACTTCGGTTCTGGAAATGCCAGTATGAAGACCTTCCATGAAGGTAGTCGCATGAACGGCCCCAGGTAGAGGGTCAGACTGCATTGAGGCCATGAGAGTTCTCGTCTCTTGGACATGGTCCGATAGCTCATTCTAACTCATTCTCACCCCGATGGGGCCCGTGAACGCACACGGCAAGCTTGATTGGGTGGTGAGAACATCTGTACCAATTGTGTGACTTATGCGACTCCCATGTGGGAAATAATAGATCAACCTACGTGCTACACGGCAAGGCCTATTCTATAACTATTTCATCAAGCTTTGTGATAGCCAGCTAGACCTGTTGAAGGTCAAGCTTGATCAGACCCGATCCCATGGCCATCTTAATCTCACTGATCCAGAGAATGAGGTATTCACCCTCCTTACCGAAGTTGTTCTTAAATTCCACTCTAAGTGGACGAGGTCTGGCCTCTTGGTCTGGTACAGACACATAGCGTGTAGGCATAGCCGACGCTACTTGGTCTTGGACCTTCCCTAGACGGTTTTCTTCATACTGCATGAAGTCTCCAACTCGTGCATTGAGCACCTCAGGGCCTTCTGAGACAAGGAACCCCGCAAACTTTAGACCTGAAGATGCGGTCATCTTATCAAGCACGAACTTTTGGGCCTCAAAGAGAGGAGTGGTGTTTTCCATCCTCACAGAGGATCAGTCTAAACAGATTCAAGTGTAGATTGAATACAAGTGCTACCAAGTGTAGCGGAGCTACACTGCTCCTTAAGTCAGAGAAACACTAAACGCTCAACGAGCTACTTAGTTCTAACGAACTAGACTCAATGATTTAACAAGTGTAAAGCTTTTGGTCCCTGTTTGAGGGGACCCAACAATTCAGTGAATCGACAGCACTTAGTGCTCAAGAGTAACTAGCTACCTCAGGGAAGTGTTGCTAACTCTTAGTGCTCAGCGATCAACGACTAAAGACGCCTCGCAAGGCACGTGTTTTTAAGATCAAAAGGGGAACTGAAACTTATTTACATTTACATCAATAGAATATATTGACCTAAGTAAGTACAACTAAGATCTCCCCTATCTAGTGGCTGGCACCAGTCAGCCCCCACAAACCGATAAGATATTCCATGTCTCTTTCAGTGGGATATCATCCGTGTGTCTAAGACACAGGGTACCAGGTACCCAATTTTGTCTGACACCGTTACAAAGTCCTTGTCACGTGGTAGCGTCGATCGTTTCGTCTCAAGCGGTCGAATAAAGCTGTCAATCGGACCTTAAAAAGAAATTCATTTGCTACAGAGGACAGGTTCGTGGATGCGTGTGTGCTTAAAACGATCTGTACGAACGCTGAGCATATTTGGCACGATCCCCTTCACCTCAAACGCGTGTCACAGCAGGCAGCAGTGGTCGTGTGTAGTGTACGGATGACAGGTCATCAAAAGTCAGGGCCAATGTTGTATGTAGAATCAAATTCAAAAAGTCTGGTCAGATTTGGCCCTTCTACTGCTCGTATGTCTTGTGCGCTTTGTCCAGGCAGAAAAAGGAAGATTAGATTGCTACGAGAAATCACTGCTACTGGAAAGAGGTAGCATAACAGCATACGTGAATTCTCACAAAACAATTTGGTCATGGAACCTTTAACTCGTTTCTTTATGTAATTACGTAAGGGAAGCTTAACCGGTTTTAGCTACCAGACGAAAAAGAACTAGTGCTTGAGTCAGGCGTTGTAGAATGGTAAAAGTGTGCGAAGGAGTAAAGACAAGCAACGATAAGAAACGAGCCAAATTGTGTGGTGTTCGACAACGACAACGACCGTAAGACCGTTATTTTGCATTTTGTGCAGATTATAAACTAAACGGTATGCTAGAATGAGCGGTCCTAGCGCCTTCTTTGAACAAAGAACGGTAAACGCGAGCATCATGATGTTTCTGCAGCAATTTGAAAGTTGATCCACACATCTGAGGGATTTTTATTCAGCCACACAGCACAACGACAGCTTGATGAGTAGTTGCCTATGTAATAGCGCTACTGGATCTAAAGTGTTTTGTTTCAGTCAAGAGCGCGATTGCACCTCCCTTTACTATAATCAATAACTTTTTTTTAATTATTATCACAGCGCTGAAGCCTTACGAAAAGCCGTCCTACGTCTAGGAAGAATTAACTTTAGTGGCGGCGAGAGGCATTCAGTAACGGGGCACCATTTGTTTAAGGTGCCACAAAAATTCGCGTATATTAGTACGTGCAGAGGAAGCTAATCTACTTAATAGCTAGTTTGATTAAAGGTAAATAGAGAAATGTATTTTATTAATACAGTTGAGCTAACGATACAATTTCAGTCTTTATCGAACTATGTAATCCACATTGTCGTGTGACGACAACCTGTTCACCACTCATTATGCGCGTCTAGCAGCGATTACTGGTGCCTTTGGTTGATATGTCTTCATCAACCAATCTTTGAGCAGCGCATGAACATTATCCTAAAGGAATAATACTACTTTAATGTTACCTATTTCGAAATATTAATAACAGGGAATTTGCACGCTAGACAATCTCCCTATTGACACTTTTTGGTGTCAATATCATGCAACGGGCTACCCCTTTACATCACTTTCCCCTTAACCATCAATCACCCGTTGATAATTTAAATGATGGGGACAGGGGGACTACCGCTGGATCACCCTCGGGAAGGGGAGCACTTGCAGGTGAAATTCCATCTCATTTGCCAATTCGTCGCATGGTGTCAAATTTCATGCGATGTACTACCGAAGCAGCAAGAATAGCGGTTGCACGCGTGCGTCCAGCCACAGAGATTTCGTCTCTTGCTTCAGCAGCAGGTGATCCTATGCCTGTTACTGCGAGATAGCAGCTAACGGTGCCTGTTGTAAACAGTCTACGTGGTAATTCACCACGTGCGACAGGTACATCCGCTGCGTCTGCAGCGGGTACTGCGAGTCGCAATGTCGATGAGCCTAATATAGAGCTGATCTATTCTGGCGAGTAGGATGATGCATTCGACTCAAAGGCGACACCTCACGCCTCCGGATCATCCGGAGCGGACACTGCAAGAGCCAGGTTGACTGGTTCTGGGAACCGTGGCGGCATCATGTTCGAGATCTTCGGACCGAGTGATTCGTCTGACGACGTCTCACTCAAGTACATTTACGGATATGACGCGTGGGGATGGTGGATATGCCTCTAAGCATCACCTCGAGAGAAGCAAATCTAAAGATCGAGTTGCCACTGGTGTCAGTGCTCGTGCTGACACCACTCAAGAGGCCATGGCAAGTGGCCATGGACCAAAATGTCCTGCTTAACGCTCCTCGAGTGCATTCTCCTTGGATGCCGTCATCCAGAGAGCTGGACCGGCTGGTCGGCATGACTACCGAATGGGATCGAATCCCGTTGTTCTGATTCAGGCGGATATGTCCTCCAAATTTCAGCACGGGAACTATCCGTGCTGAGGAAGAGTTCTGCACCGATGCGTTCTTCAATCATCCGTGGTACAATGGCAGCCGTGGTCGAGACGTCAAAGCCTTGGTGCAAGTATGGAGTGCCCTCATCCACAACATCGAGTGTCTTGGCCGTGAGGCTTGGCTCGCCAAACTTGATGCACCTCGCATCAGGTTTGAGAAACGCAGCCAAGTTGAGGCGCGATACAAGTTGCACCGGCTTTCAAGAGAGGCAGGATTACCCTGTCTATCGTGGGGCGATTCGTGTCCAGGTTGCCTGGACAATTCGAACCGTTCCCCTAGGGAGGCCTACCCTTCTATCGATCCCTACTGGAGGGCGCGCATCTATTCCGAGATGGCCGAAGGGATTGACACCTTGCAATCCCTGTACTCGTGTTCGGGGAGGTCGTTTTTCGACGTCCCTTCTTCAAACGCAGCGGGTGGGTCTCGTCGTACTGCTCGACGAGACCAAGGACATCAACAATCAGCTGGGCACTAGGCTATCAGCTGTCCCACGCCGGTGGATTGCCACGCCAGCAGACGAGGTAACTCGTCCGGACGCCATACACATCGCGTTGGCTCAAAATACGCTCCACTGGGAAGCGTTGACAACCGCTTGAGTCCACCAAAGGATGTATTGGCGGCGGGAACACCTGATCCGGCTTGAGGGTCGGATCAGCTTGACGTTCAAGAGCTGAGCCGCGTAACGGAACAGTTGCAAGATGACCTAGCTCATTAACGGAGTCGGCGTAAGGGGATTGAGGATTTTGTGAGGGATAATTACAATTCCCTAACGCACGATCGTTAGGACGATCGTGCCGCGTTTGCGTTTGCGCAACTTGAGAACGAACGTTCGACTCGTTCTCTTCGTGATGAGCTTGCTGTAGCTCGTCGAGAAATCGCTGAACTGCGTGAACAGGTCGCTTCGCAAGTCTAACCCAAACCAACCAGACTGGCTCGTAGAAACGGGATCACTCGAAGGTAGTCTCGGCTCTCGACCGTGGAGGTGTTCTTTGCATCTCGAAACGGGCTCTTTCTGATAGTACGGGCAAAGAGGACTAACGTAAAACGTAGGATGCGTACGCATCTTGTGGGACAGTTCAATCGTGTATGTGTTGCCCATTCGGCGCAACACACGATATGGATCGATGTACTCGGGCAGTAATTTACTGCTGCCCACGTTTGTCACTGCGTATTTCGGTAGATTTACTGTAGAAAGTAACACTAAGTCTTTTCTAAGAGAACGAATTTTTGCTCTTCCCAATTTTTTTGAGTTTCTTTTCTGTTTAGCTTGTGCATCTGCAACAGAGACTTGAACAAAGAGGACAACCGCTTCGCGAGTCAGCAGAAATTCCTCTGCTGATTCATCCTTGTCAACAGCAGTGCGCTTCGTTGGCAATGCTAAAAGAGCGTTGTTTTTACCAGTGAGGGTGTCATCGTTCTCACTTTGGAAGTCATTTGCGATGCTGAATATACCAACATCGCCGTCATCGTCATCATCGATATTGATCCCATCGACATCGGCATCCATCACGTCGACACCATTGTCGATGGGTGATGAACAAGAACCAGATCAGTTTTTGTTCAAGCGAGTCCACCCCCCCCTTAAACTAGAGTCACTCTTTAAGAAGGTGGGTAAACGTAAATGGCGTAGGCCATTAACGAAGAACGGTGCATGCGTTGTCGGCGCATGCGTCGAGTTGTTGATGGCGAATTCCGCCATCGGCAAGAACTCACTCAACTCGCAAACGAGAGGACGTACCCTCGAAGTATCTCTTCGAGGAAGCGTTTGACACGTTCCGTTTGACCATCTGTTTCTAGATGGTCAGAAGTCGACATCTTCAAACTGTTCCAAGTGAACGGTACAGAATTAATAGAACTCCGCTGTGAAGCGGGCGTCCCTATCAGACACGAGTCACGGGGTACCCGTGAAGTCGAAAGATAGTGTCGATGATGACACGAGCACAGCCCTGGCTGTGATTGACTGGGCTGTGATTGACTCCGGTAAAGCAACAAGATGTACCGTCTTGCTGAACCGACCAACAAACACAAGAATACCAGTATTCTTGTGAGCTGCCAGAACTCAGCCGGACATGGTAGAGACTGCAAGGTTGCACGGGATGAAAAACTAGGCTTCACCCGCCGGCAAACTTCGCAAGCGCGAATGTTTTTGCGCTCGAACTCATACTGGATGGTCCAGTAGAAGCCACGACTTACCGTTAGGTAAGTCTTTTTCCTACTGCGATGCCCGCTTGGTGGGGCATTGTTTGAAACTTGTACATGATGCGCAGTCGATAATTATCATAAGCGGGAATGAAGACACGAGGTGTGTCGCCGGTGACTACTGCATAGTACAGCAGTCCATCACGAACCAAATACCGTTCGTTTAAAGAGTGGTAGTGTGACGATAACCTTTCCAAAACTTGACTGCACAGATTGGATACGTAATCCATTAATCGCAGAATAGACTCATCTGCTGTGTATGCTTGCTGCGCGTCGTCGAGCAGATTCGACGACAGAACACTCACTATTAGTATTGCTACAGTGGGGTCATCCCTACTGATAGGTTAAGTAGTCGGCTCGAACTCGGGCCGACACGAAAGAGCACCAGCGACGATATTGAGTCGTCCTGGTTTATACTCGACGGAGAAGTTGTACTCCGCGAAGAAAGACAGCCACCTCGCCATTCGTTGCGAGAGGTGTGGACTATTTACGGTTAGGAGTATTGACGCATGGTCAATATAAACCATGAAAGGCCTATCTCCTAAGAGATATACCCGAAACTTATCCAGTGCATATTTCATGGCGAGACGTTCCTTGTTATGCACCGGGTAATTACGCTCAGCTGCTTGCAGCTGACGCGATTGATATGAGACGACGCGTTCAACGCCGTCTGAGTCGAACTGCATTAACGCGCAGCCGATTGCAAAATCACTGGCGTCACAGACCACATGAAAAGGCCTAGCCTGATCTGCAATCGCCAACACAGGCGATCGCACCAAGCCTTTCTTGATGCCTTCAAAGGCGTGATGACACTTAGCGCTCCATCACCACCTCTCGTTTTTCTTTAACAGACGAGAGATATGTACAGTCACCTCGGCATAGTTGCGCGAGTATTTGTGCAAATACGCTGCCAAGCCAAGTAATTTTAGAAGTCCCTTGACGTCGACTGGCACAGGCCAGTCGCAAATCGACTTGTTCTTTCCGGATCAGGTCGTTCACCGTTTTTACCCACAATGCAGCCAAGAAGGGGAATTTCGTTCGCTGCGAGTACACACTTCTTGAGGTTCGCGAACAATTTTTGCTCTCGCACTAGAGTAAGAACCTTCCGGACGTGGATTCTACGAACATCCACGTCCGTCTTTCCATCCATAGCCCGGCTATGGACGAAGACATCGCCGAAGTAACTCGGCGCGAAATCGCGCACCGATCGCAACAGGTTTGTTACACATCTTTTAAACGTTGCGGGAGCGTATCTAAGCCCCTGCGGCATCAATCGCCACTCCCAGAGCATACCACTGGGTGTGCTCATTACTGTGTAAGGGATATCCCCTTCACGCATGAGGATCTGACAGAATCCATCCATCATATCCATGGACGAAGAGATGGTCACTTTGACACACCGTCTATGATGACGTCCTTCGTTGGTTTCGGCGTTTGAGGCGGTACCGTTGCAGCTTTCGGTTTGTAAAATGCGTGCACTATCCGCCACCCTCCTGTTGCCTTCGAGCACAGAAGGTCGTAGAGCTGTATGAGGATGTTGATTCCCTCACATGGCCCGCAGCTAAACGATCGGCAAAGAATTTATCGATCGCTGTGACCTGTTTCTGAGGCTGTGGCCACTGTTTCATGACACAGTATTTAGAACGAGGTTTCAGTTCGATCTCATGCCGAGTGCTTTTGTCCTCAGGCAACTCGCATGGCACGGATTTCGGGAAAACATCCCTGAATTCGACCAAATCCTTATACAAAGGATTTGTCTTCAAAGACTTCCAAGATTGAGACGTGTATCGATCAATCCGATTCTTCTCATCGAGTACACTCTCGTCTATCGATGGTCTACTGAGAACCCATTCGTTCTCAGCAAAACACTTGTGCCAACCGAATATCGGCGACGTACTCGTTCTATGTGACGAGTACGCAGATCTGCTTGATCTTGTCACTACGCAGATCTTGCTAGAATCTTTTAGATTCTAGCGTCGGTAAATTGGTTATCTCTGAAGCTGAATTTGGAGGTGTAACCAGATCAAGTGTCTAAGCACCTACACTTGATCCGTCATTCACCATGACATTCACTGACTCGGTGAGTTCCTGGGAAATCGCAGGTGGTTGGGGATCCACACCCTCAACATAACTCTATCGGGAGTTATTGGACTCAGGAACGCTGGATTTTTCTTCCGTTAAGTGTACTATCACGGTCACGTCCTCTTCGATCGAATCTCTTTCATTCGATCGGGCTTGCTCTACGATCGACTCTCTGTTAGTCGATTTCGCTTTAACGTGTTTTCCATCCTGAACAACACTAATCTCTCTTCTTAGACGCACCCTTCTTGGTGCACATCCGTGTTCCACTCCACTCGATCTCTTCGAGTGGTGATCCTTCGGCGCAGCTTGTCTCTCTACACAGATGCCGGAAGCTGGTTCCACAGTGTAGTGGCCTTCTACACTGTGATCTTGTGCAGTCACACTGACGAGCGTACCATAAGTGAGGCTATCGCACTCACTCGTAGTACATCCACACGCTTTTGGACGCTCCAAGACATTCATCAGATGGCTATCCGATGAACAAACGGCAGGCATCTTCACGGATTAATGCTGCCAGCTGATCCATGGCTGGTATTTCTAAGCCATGGCAGACTGAGGATGACATCAAATTTGTCATCCAAATCCAATACGATAAAGTCATCATCGTACTGCTTTCCTTCTAGCGTGTAGTGGATTCCCACTACACGTTTGTTCAATGTTACGGATGCGCCTGTAGCAAGGCACACTGTTATCCTCGTTGGAGGGAACTCTCGCTCAACATAGTTAGGCCTACAATCCCTTAGCGACTGGCGTCAAATAAAACTGTCCGACGCGCCACCGTCAACTAGGGCGCAAAGTGACATTCCACTTGTCACTTCGATCTTTAAAGTGATGAGGGACACCTCATCACTAAAGGCAGTAATACACAGAGACTGTGTGTCGGGATCAACCTTCGTCAAGAGTCCTGCAAATTCTCTTGACGTTGCTGGATCAGCAGGGTGCTCCGCTCCTACTGACCCTGTCCATTTTTTGGCGGTACGACTAGCTGTCGCGGCTTAGCGAAATGTTCGGACCCACGCCTTGGACCCTTCCTTGGCCAACGGCGGTCATCACGTCCTGTCTTTGGACGTGATGCGGTGCTTGGGACACTACACACATGAGCGTAGTGTCCAATCTTCTGATAGCAATGGCATCTTTCCGTTCGCTTGTGACTCAGAGAGCGAGAGTTCTCTCTCCCTCGATGCAACAGAGGTTCATTGGTTCGGGATCTCCTGTTTCCTGTCGTCTCGTCGGACGATAGCTTTAGGAGTTAGCCTGAGACTGCCTCAGGCTTAAGTATTTTTGTTCCGCATAGGCTGATGCCTTTTCCAGCGTACGGAAGTCGTCTCGGAACATGTAGGTCTTGATTGGTTCATCTACAAGACCGTAGATGAAAACGTTGATGAGAGTGTGCTCATCAACAAGGGTTTCCGCAACGCTACTCGCAAGATAGCGTGGATGCTGTGCGTAAGCATGCACATCACGCTTACCTTGATTGAGCTTCAGGAGTGCAGAGCGTGCTCTAAACTCAGTTCTTGGCGGCTCGAAAGTTTCTTTGAGCCGAGACTTCAAGATGTCCAACGACTCAAACACGTTTAGGTACTGAAGCTTGAGCGCTAAGGCTCAAGTCTTTGCTCTTCCTGTCAAAATAGACAGGGCAAAAGTGACTTGCATCTCGACACCCTCGATGTGACGGGCCTTTACGACGTCGTCTAACTCGACGAAACATCTCAAAAGTGAATCTTCATCGGTTTCCTTGTACCTTGAGGTTTCGATCTTCAAGGTTTCTGGATTACGCATGTGCGACGGCCCGTCCATCGACTGGTGAGAGCCTTGCTGCTGTAGCAAGACTATCTTTTGTCGATCAACGACAAATTGTTCCTTCTAGGAACTTGCTGATAGCAGCATATTGCTGGTCTTTGCTTAGAGATCAGTAGGATAGATCAGGCGTTACTCATCTTCACATTAGTTTACCGACTAAAATGGATTAGTGCGACGTTTAAAGTACTCCTAACGTTTTTTACGGTCAAGCACAGACACGTAGAATTTAAAAGGCAAATGCTGTACGGCTGGGTTCACTAGTTATTTGGTTGAGTCGTTTAATTCGTTAAACGAAGTGGCTCGAAAATATGACCAATTTTGTCAGGTGCAGATCTCAAATAATCAATTCACCATTTCTAAATCATTTACCCGTGCAAAGGAGCACTAGGCGCATAGATCGATGTAGCACCGAAGTCGATTTAAATC